AATAAACCAGTTCCACCCTTGGGCACATCATTTTCATTATCCCTGGTCTTGGTTATAGTAAGCACCACAGTCCAGGAAATCCACATTCCTTGGCATCCTTCTCCAAACGATGTATTGCATGGTGGTAAATCTATGACTAATTCATTATCATAGATTGGCTGCATCAGAGAAGAATACATCTGTTGTGGTATAATCTTTTTGTACATTGTCAAGATGTGTATTTGCCAAGGGGTCTTCTGACTGGTGTAATAAAGAGCTGAATCGCCAATAGCTAGGCAGGAAAAGGTTAGGTAGGACTTCCCAGCAGAAAGTGAGGAAGAGGAAATGAATCAAGGCACAGGGGAGATGCCAGAGGATGTGGTGAGGACAGGAGGTATAAGATCGAAGAGAGGTAAACAGCCACTAAGCAAAAGATAGATTAGTATAAATTGGTTAATTTATGTTATAAAAGCTAGTGGGACAAGCCTAAGCTAAAGGTCAAGCTTTCATAATTAATATAAGTCTCTGTGTCATTTTTTGTGAGCTGGTGGCTCAAAGAAAAATCTGTCTATATACATCTCTCTAGTTTTCAATCCAAAACTGTGCCAAGATAGTAGGATGGCAGACACAGAAATCTGTACATGCTTTAGTTTTTTTGGTGGAATTTGAGATTTGTTGCAATCAAAGGGATTAGTTCATTGGGCATACAAAGTGGAAAGTAAACATGGGCAGAAAGAAGCTGAAGTCCTGGAGGGTATCAGACATTTTTGATAGTTCATCTTGCAATTATCTCTAAGAACAGCCATTTCTTACAAATCATAACCCAAACTGATGGACAAAATAAAAAAAGATACTTCAAAATAATGAAGCTATCTTTATTTTATGGCAAAATTACAAAAACAAATGAAATTGAATTTTTAAAAATATTTCCACACTAAGGAAAATATTTTAGAAGCAACCTAATATTACCACACTTGTAGCAATTGCTTTTTATTAAAATGATAAAAATATTCTGTGAAATTTCTGAGTTCCTAACACCTCATTCTTTCACACCAACTTATTTAATAATTCCATATAATACCTTTAATTTCTAAACACTTTCATTGATATGGGTGCAGAGGTACAGAAACCCAAAACTTTTATTCACACTTACGCATGATATTTTCTGTTATTTTTATCAGGATTTTCCATTAATTTGTAATATTAATATTATTGTTTTTAAATTCAAAAACAAGGAGCATAATAACATAGTGGGTTAATCATTATCTCAGACCCTTAGCAGTTTTGGCATACCCTTATAATCACATTAGAACTTACCATGACATTTTCTTTTAGTCTCTTATCAACTGAAGATGTATGTATTCATTCAAATCAAATCTAAATTAAATATATAAATCCAAGACAATTGTATAGATGCATACCCATATAGGAGGTTGGTAGTATCCAGGAAGATTCTCTACTCCACAGTTTAGACTTTTGGCAGAAAAGTGTCTGATAAAAATCAACTGAACAACAGAGTAGTGTGGTTTCCAATGTGCAGAACATTAAATAACTTATGAAATTTACGTTGTTCAAAAAAGCAGCTAACTAATGCCTGTTACAGTGACAACTCATACTGCCTCTTTTGAATTGAGTGCCTCTTTTCAAATGTTTATGCGAGTACTTGAGATGAACAAATTTAAATGGTATCTTGTACTCTTTTTCATCATTATATAATTTCTCTTCATTGGAGTCTGTGTTAGTTTGCTTTCTGTTGCAGTGATAGAACACGTCCAGAAGCAACTTGAGAGAAGAAAGGACTTATTTGGGTTTATAGGTTACAGTCCATGAGGGAGGGAAGCCAAGGCAGTGATTCTGGGTAGCAGCCTGGAAGCAGGAACTGCGGTAGGGATTGTGGAGGAACACTGCTTACTGGCCTGTGTCTGTGCCCTGCTCAGCTTGTTTTCTTACACAACTCAGGACAACTTGACCAGGGATGGCACTACCCACAGTGGGCTGCAGTCTCCCCACCAATAATTATTAATAATTATTCAAAAGAGTGCCTCATAGTTGTGCTCACAGCTGTCTGACAGAAGTTGAGGTAGTCTCTTCCTAGGTGAGACTGTAGTTCAGATCAAGTTGACAAAAACTATCATAAAGTCCTCACTCCCATTACTAGAATATGCAGATAAGGTAACCATAATTTTCATAATCCAATTATGTATGGGGATAATACTGCAAGCAGAGCTGTCAATCAACCACATTTATTTAGGTTAAAGAAGTTGTGAGCCAAATATTAATAATGTATTTTAATTTGTGTGTGTTCTAGACCACAAAGGTCTTCTGATGTAAAGAGAGTTCAGCCAATTTACATTAACTTGTACTTTTCAAGAATCTTACATTTTTTAATATTAGTAATCTGCAAACTGGGAAGCCACTCCCAGAAATAAAATTTGTATTGAAGGTATCAGATTGGACATTTGTATTTTTATGACAATGACATCTTCACAACAGTTTTACTATTATATCCTTATTCAACTAGTAGATAGTCATTAAATCAGCAAAAATTGCTTATGTTGTGGCTGTTATTTGTAAAGATTCCCATTGAGGAACATCAGCCTACTTCCTGAGAGAGCTCACAAAGGCAGTTGAATATCAGGAGTGATGTATAGTGGCTGAATCATCTGATAGACCTCCAAATTTAATTGTCTTCTAGCTGCTAGGCTAAATACACAGGTGATGCCTTAAGTTATAAACTGCAAGAATTTTTAATATTATAATATATAAGGCATTTTGTAGAATTGCAAAACTCTTAAAATCTTGGCAATTTTAGTTTATTTTTAACATTATATTAGCAAAATATTCTAATTAAATTCCCCTATTTGATCTCTTATTTATATAAGTTTATTTTCTTCTGTGGTAAAAAGAAATAATTAAATATTCTTCATTTTTTTCTTCCTTGAGCCATTAACCTTGATGCTGTAACTCAGACATGTGTAAACAACTACTGTCTTTAATATTATTGAGTTTTACTGTTGTATAAATCATAACTAGCCATGAACCTTTGAAGTAGTTAAAATGTAAGAATTTTATTTATATTTATACTTACTCATTTATTTCTTAAATTGTTTTTAAATTATGCTGATATTAATAGTCTGAAAATGTCTTGTAAAACCTTATTTTGTAACTTAGGCATATTAATAAAAGGAAACAATTTAACTGGAAAGATGGCTCATGGGTAAAGAGTGTGTAGCGCTCCAGTAGGAATCTAAGTTTGGTTCCCAGAAGCCATGTCAAACGGATCATATTCACCTGTATTGTAATTCCAACTCCAAGGAATTAAGAGACATCTAGCTTTCTGTTCAAGGAGAACATGGACCACAGAATCAACTAAGCAGGTCTCATAGGGGCTCACAGTGATTAAAGCAGCAATCATAGAGCCTGAGTGGGTCTGTACTAAGTCCTCTGCAGATATATTATGGTTGTTAGCTGGGTATTTTTGTTGGACTCTTGACAGTGGGAATGCTGGTGTCTCTAACTCTTTTGCCTGCTTTTGAGACTCTTTTCCTCCTACTGGGTTCCTTCACCCAGCCCTGACAGGAGGGTTTGTGTCTAGTCTTATTGTAACTTGTTATGCCATGTTCAGTTAATCTCCCTGGGAGGCCTGTTCTCCTCTGAAGGGGAACAGAGAATGTATGAATATGGGGAAAGAAAGGTTGGTACTAGGAGAAGTAGATGGAGAGAAGGGAGGTGGAGGTCAGGATATATTGTATTAGAAAAGAATTTTTTAAAAAGAAAATCAAAAACTAAAAAATTTTAAATATTTTTAAAAGAGGAAAGAGTTGATAGTAAAGATAAAAAATACTTGCTACCATGATCCCCATCATGATGATAATGAACTGAACCTCTGAAACTATAAGTGAGCTACCCCACTTAAATGTTTTCTTTTATAGGAGTTGCATGGTCATGGTGTATCTTCGCAACAATAGTAACCCTAACTAAGACATTAAGGAAGATAAGATAATCACTTAATGTGAAAAATACTATAAATTATTTCTAGGAAATAAAAACTAATGTTTTCATAGATTTTTCTAACAGGCTGGTCATTTAGAAGACAATAAGGGCAAGAATCTTATTGATTAATTAATTTGTTTCCAATTCTTAAATTTAATTTGATGTGATTATAACTCTTAAGTTAGCAATAGATTGTTGACACAAATAGAGAATTCAGTTTACATGAGGATTTATGTGAATTTAAACCTTAGAAAGATTAAGTATAAAAGGAATAGCTTGCTTTCAAGAAAGCACATATACCTTAAGACCCCTCCTTGTAAACTTACTTTATACTCAGAACCTTAATATTTTTCCATTTTATTTATTTATTTTTGTATGTATGGGCAAGCATGCCAGAGTGCATGTGTGGATGTGGGAACCCAACTTGCAAGAATTGTCATTCTCCTTCTACCACATGGGTTCTAAAGTTCTGAAGACTACTGAATGGAGTCAGAGGTAAGTTTACATATGGGACAAAATATGATCCTGTTTTCCTCTTCAACTCTCTCAAAGGCAATAACCTATGTGGATGTGATGTGAAAATCCTTCACTTACTTAATTGTCATGTCTGCACATCACACAGCAAAATACTCATGCAGTCCCTTTGCAGAGGTGCAAAGGTTAGAGAATGGCCTTGGACTGCATCCTCAAACTTAATAAAACTTTGTAATGACTTAATAGTTTAGAAGTGTTTAGAAAGTTATTCCCTTCTACAATATTTTTCTTTAAGTCTGTCTAGATAGATGTATAGGATTTATATTAAAAATGAGCATATAATCTTTTTATAATCCTTAAAGGATTAAGCTGAGTTTGAAGTATTGATCAGCAGAACAATCTATTGGTAAGCTTAAGGGAAGGTCATCAGAATGGAAAACAAGACATTAAAGACATTGTATACTTCGGAAAAAGAAAACCAATATACAGAATGCAGAATTGCCAGAACTAAGCTAGGAACACATAGAGCAGACACTTAAATGTTTTTGTCTTACCTTTGCAAAGACTGCCTTACTTTCAGCAGGCAGATAACTGAAAAACTTTCTTGAGAGGATTCTGATTAGCTCCACCTTGTGGGAGAGAGGGAACTGATGCACTGTAACTGTCTCCTTGAGTTTCAGAGTAGACTCTTTCAAGCAGGGATGTACATCATCACAATGGACATCTCTCAAAAGGCTGTTGGAAGTGAGAACTCTTGTCCTCACCTTGACCTGAAATAGGAGCTATAGTTCAATAAGATCTCAAGCAGATTGGTTTGTACAGCAAAATTTGAGAAACACTGCTCTTAAGGGTATCAAAAATGAGTGACTAACTACTTTCTCCAGGAACACTGGTCACTTCAACATAGGTCAAAATTCTGACATTGAAACCACTTTTTCTCTCCCATTGTCAGTGATACCTGTGAGTCAACTTAGACTATAGAGAGAAAAGCTCCCTGGATTGGTGTCCTGTGGATTGACAGGACCACAGCAATCTAAGCACCTAGCTGGAGGTGATAATGCTGGCCTGAACAGAGCATACTTCTTAATTTTAATGTGGTAAGACCTTTAAGTGGTAACATTGCTTTTATAAACATTTCCTAAGGAAATACCACAAGCTGACACAAATGAGAATGTTTCTCTTCTTTTGTGGAAAATAATAGCTAATAGAGCATTTTCTCTAGAGATTGGAAAAACACTATTAATATATTGTATGAATCACATGAATAAATATGTTGCTCTATTAATTAGACACTGTTTCTTGGTTCTAAATAGAAATATTATCCTATTAATGTTTAATGCTCTATGAAAGAAATAATTCACAACTAAACTGCTTAATTTTTTGCTTGCAAGTCTTAAGAAGGTTTCTGCACATTATCATAAAAGATCATGTCAGAACTTCTTATTTCCTTGGGAGTTAGCAAAAGATATTAAATGCACTTGTAAAAAAATTGAAACTTTATAATTGTCTTTAATAAATAGTGTTTCTACTCCCTCTTAGTCTATGAGGCACACTCATTAAAGAAAGGCTTCCATATGGAGAACTCAGAAATCAATCTAACTACATTCTCCTAAATCAATAGTGCCCAGTGGCCTGTGCTTCATGTAGCAAAGACCCACACATTGTATGATAATGACTTTGGGGCCCATTATTAAACAACTTTTCTCCTTTAAAGAGAGATTGGCTAGAAACTTTAGAGATGGGTTTCTAGAATACATTTTTATTGAAATTCTATGCTTTATGTAAAGCTAGAAATGAAAAAACATAAATCACTTTCTACTTGCTTGTAAAAATGTAATAAGAATGTAGGTTGTATCAAACATTGACAGCTACAGTAGACATGAAATGCTTTATGTTAACTGTAAAATGAGAATTATTAAAAAATAAAAGATACAGCCTCTATTCACTGGTCAGATAACAGCTTTAAAAGTCTAAAGGAAAATTGTTATTGGGTGACTCTGAAATTATAATCACACTTGAAATTTATTTTTAGAGCATGTTTTTCTTTTACTTACGAAGAAAAAAATCATTGGTGCTAAAATTGTTCTTATTGTATTTAGATTAATAAATTAAATTAACAAATCAATGAATATGACTTTCAGGCAAAATGTAATTTTTTGAGGATTGTTTAAATTAACATCAACCATGATGTTGAATAATTAATACAATGTAGACATATTTTTAAAAAATGAATGTATTATTAGTAATAAAATAGCTTATTATTCTTAGACTCTATTTCTAATAACTCTAACAGAAAGTTTAAAGAATGGAAGTAATAATAAGAGATTGGATATTTCAAAGTTAGTCAGATCTTATGGTGGTAGTTTTCTAAAACTTTTTTCAAATCTGTTGGTACAAACCCTCACAAACAAAACTAACAAAAGAATACTTTCCGATTTTGCTTCATAAAATAAATATTTCTAGAAAGTTTTGAGTACACAGTATAGCTACTGAATGTCAAAATTCCAGATCTTAAGTAAGTTATGAAGAAATAGTAGCCCACGCAAGGCTCTTATAATACTTCACTGACATATAAACCTAAGCAGTCCTCTATAACATTCAGCAGAACTGACTAGGTGCCAAGGCAATATTACTGACTAAAAATCAAACACTAGAACACAAGCGTGACTGGAAGTGATCCAGATAATTCTTTGCAATTACATACAAAGTAGGAGGGCGTATATCTATTTTAAAACCACCCAATTTTTACCATCACTGTGCTACTCTGCAGCAGATGTGGAAGAGCATGTTAAGGTTGCAATGACCTTACTCACTGGTGGCCATGTGGTTCTGCACCATCCCTAAGCTCCAAAGGATTTTAAACTCAATATAGTTCAACTCTAGAACTGAAACTGAAAACACCACCAACTGAAAGAGGAAATAATTTAAGAATTCTATCCCAAAATTACAGGGCATATGTTGGAGATCTTTCTTCTTCTGACATTACTAACTGGACTCCTTTGAGAGTGGAGCATACAGTTTTCTCTCCAATTTGTGCATTAATTTTTTTAAAGAATGTGTTCTAGCCAGGAGTGATGGCCCAGGCCTTTAATCCCAGCACTTGGGAGGCAGAGGCAGGTGGATCTCTGTGAGTTTGAGGCCAGCCTGGTATACAGTGGGAATTCCAGGACAGCCAGGACTGTTACACAGAGAAATCTTGTCTTAAACAAACAAAGAAACAGAATGCCTTCTAATTTGGTTCCTTGTGATTTTCTACATTGAAATTAGTGTATGCAGACTCAAGGAATAGAATCCTACCCTATCTTAATGCAACCTGGTAACTTTTCAGGGAACAGACTGTGATTTGCATCCTGAATCAGTGGCAAAGGCTCTGCAGCCTGGTGTTTCCCTGAAACTCCTACCTGCCTCTTACCACTACTTTCCTATCTCTGTTGTCTCTCGGACTTTTAATCTGCTGACATGACTGCAGAAACTGTCCCGTCTTTTGACTATCATCCCAAACTGGATTACCTAAGAAGATGTTTTTCATGCACTCTTTCCCTAGTTACATTTTCAGACCAGAAAGTCTCACCACATTTTCAATTCTATTTTGTAATAGTGGAGAAAAAAATGGACTGCTGTTTAAGAAATATCAGAGCTGTCCTCACAGATTAACAAGATCTTTCAATTATTCAGCAAACTAAGTGTGACATCCAGTCATATTAGATACCTAGACTACCATCTCATTTAGTCCACAGAGCAAGGAAAAGAAGGATGAGATCCTAGTATTCTTGTCTTCATTTGCAATCTGTTCTCTTTAGGTCAGTTTAATGCCTGACCCTTCACATAGGCATGTTGATCACTCTAGAAGCACCTGTCTGAACATACCTAACCTAACTCATACAAGAGTATTTTACTTTCTGCTTTTAAAATATCCCATTTCAGATTTTTTTTTAAAATGGATATGTGGCTTTTTCTCTTTTTATTATTAAGAAATTTTCTATTCATTTTATATACCAACCACAGATCCCCCTCTTCTCCCTCCTCCTGCCCCCAGCCTTCCTCCCCAACCCACCCCCTATTCCCACCTCTTCCAAGGCAAGGCCTCCCACGGGGAGTCAGCAGAGCCTGGTACATTCAGTTGAGGCAGGTATAAGCCCCTCCCCAAGCACCAAGACAATGGAAGGTGTCCCACCATAGGCACTGGGCTCCAAAAAACCTGCTCGTGCACCAGGATCTGATCCTGATTCGACTGCCATGGGTCCCCTTAAACAGTTCAAGCTAAATAACTGTCTCACCTATGCAGAGAGCCTAGTCCAGTCCTGTGGAGGCTCCACAGCTAGTGTTCCACAGTTCATAAGTTCCCACTAGTTTGGTTTGGTTGTCTCTGTAGGTTTCCACATCATGATCTTGATGTCCCTTGTTCATAGAATCCCTCTTCTCTCTCATTGACTGAACTCCTGGAGCTCAGCCTGGTGCTTGGGTGTGGATCTCTGCATCTTAAAAAGGCATCCAAATGTCTCTTGTCATTGTCCTAAACCAACAACCAGCCAGCTTGATACCAGTAACAGAGATGCCTCACAGACAGATCATCCTGTGCTGAGATTATACCCAAAAATCACATCCTGGGTCTACCCCTGTCACAGTTCTTCTATTGAAACCTAATGTCATGTCAGTACCACAAAAAATGGGCTGAGATGCCTAATCTCCATCTGCTCAAAATGATCATTTTAATTTCTATCCTTTCCTGCTGTTTTTAGCATCCCATTCACTTTCTTCAGGGCATGTGTCCTGACATGACAGATTGGACCCTCTAACACTGGCCTTCAGCCTAGGGCTAACAAAAAACTGGTCAGGAAACTATGCATCCTCTCTGTCTTACTTTAGGGAGCATTTCTTACCACTACACATTGAATCTTACCCTTACTCTGGGACAACTGACTCTGTCCATGCAGTCTCAAAACATGACTTAGTTTAGCACATAAGAGCAGAGTATTCCTATGGACATTCTGGCATAAGTGCCCTCCAGAGCAATAGCCAAACATTTCTTAGAGTTGCATAATATCAACAATGTCTAAACTGTAGTGTCCAGGCTTTCTTTGCTCCAATTTCTCTCAAAAATATTCCCCAATAAGTCTCTCACAGACTTCTTCAAGCCTGCTGTCTATTACACCAAGGGTCCAAATTAACAAAAGGCATGACAGTTCAGGGACTGTCACCTCAGCATTGTCACACCAAGTTTATTCATGAAAAGAACATTAGAGACTAGGAGAGTCTGGAAGAGATTTTACCCTATCTCCCTGTCTACTTGAAGAAAACAATTACCTCCAGCCACTTCTCTAGTTTTTCATCACTAAAGTCATGATATAGAAAGAGATGACTGATGTCTGTAAACACTCCTTCACAGATGTTATCATCCGTCTTGCCTTCTACTTCACTTCCCACCTTTGACTTAAACTTCAGACCTACCGAATGTTCTACAAAGAACCATTTAAAGAAAGTGTCTGTTCTCTGGGTCCAAGGACCGTGTCCCAAAAGATGTTTCTCTGTGTTCATAAAATTATCCGAAAATCATTTATAGCACCTCTAAAATTCATGTAAATTCCACAGTTTTCCTCCTCTATATGGTGGAAAACAGTTACAATAAGACTTCTGAATGATATTAGAAAACTGGGAGATTTGGAGTTGGTTCTGAACACATAACAAGCGCATAACAAATACATCTTTAATATGTTTGATCTGTCCAGTGTCCATTATTCTTAGCGAGCCTACACAGAGAGGATAGTCTTTTTATCCTGTTAAGAATACTAAAAATATATAATTTTTACATAGCATTGATTACAAATTAGCTGGTCTATAATATGAATAAGCAATTTTAGAAACATGACATTTAATTCTTTATGTTCAGTCTTTAAAGGTTTTGTTTTAGGTCATATAGCCATTAATTTCTGTTAAAGTACTTATCTGGACTCTAATAGAGTACAGATTTAAACTTATCAAGCAAGATTTCCAATAAATATATTAATTTTTCTAAAATTACATTTAGCTTTAAATCAGTTTTGCTTTTAAGATACATTATTTATTTTCGTGTGTGTGTGTGTGTGTGTGTGTGTGTGAGAGAGAGAGAGAGAGAGAGAGAGAGAGAGAGAGAGAGAGAGAGAGAGAGAGAGAAAGAGACATGATTATTTTGGGTGTCTGTGAAGGCCAAAGGAGTATCCACTGAAACTATAGTCATAGATAGTTATGAGCCATGTGACATAGCTCATGGGAAACAAAGGAAAGTCTTCTGGGAAAGCAATGTGTCAGTTACTTTTCTCTTGTTGTGCTAAGCAGAGTAATCAAAGCAACTTATAAAAGAAAGAGTTTATTTTGTACTTACACTTTAAAGGGTTAAAAGCCATGGTGGTTATGGTGAGGAGTGTGACAATGGGAAGGAAGCCATGGTGTGGAGTAGTACTGAGAGCTCACCTCCTAAGACACAAACAGAAGGCAGAACAAGAGAGACTGGGAATGGTATCAGCTTTTGAAACCTCAAAAACGGTCCCCAGTGACACATCTTGGCCAAGAAGGTCACACCTACTGATCCTTCCCAAACAGTTCTACCACCTTGGGACCAAATACTCAAATAGATGATACAAGGGGTATAATTCTCATTCACACTGCCACAAGCAATCACTCTTATCCACCGATCCATCTCTTTCAGCATTTTAGCTTTTAAACCAACAGAAAATACATTTTAAAATCCACCTAGTGTAAAGAACAGAATTGTACAATATATCACCTATACAAATATATGTCAAGTTAAAAGATATATAATTTGAAAGTCTAAAAATATAAAGCTAAATTTTGAATCACTTTTTCTCTTGCCTTGATAAAATTTCCTGACAAAAGCAATTTAAAGAAAAAAATAGTGTATTTTGGCTCATGATTTGAGTTACAGTCCATTATGAAGAAAGTTTTTATAAAGTCAGGACCTTGAAATGGGTAGTCATATATTGTAACCCCCCCCCCAAGTCAGGAAGAAAACAAAAACGAAAGAATCCGTTCTGATAGATTTTTCTTTTTGATTAAATCCAGAACCCAGTCCTAGGCAGTGGTGCAACCCTCCTTTAGGATTCTTCTTCCAATATCAAGTAAATCAAGATAATCCCTCATGAGTATTCCCAGAAATTTTCCTGCTATAAATAATTTCTCATAATAGTATCTGGAGGCTAGTCTTCTAGGTGAGTTTATACCCTGGCATGTTGACAATTAGTACTAGTCACGATATTTCTAAGAGACTCTTAGAACACACACATTAAATATGTTTTTAAAGTGTGAGTTAATAATAATTAATAGCAATTTTTATTATAAATCAGAACTCAACATTCCAATTATAGAATAATACCAGCTAACATTCACAGAGTTGAAATTCAATATGCAACTGTACTCATCAGTAAAAAAATTAAAGAAAACAAAATACTAAAATTTCTTTGAACTACAGGATTAATTTTTTAAAAATATTGTGCTTGAAAATACTCCCTGACAATGTATTAAGTACACTCCAAATTAAGTAGGGATTTCAAATGAAATTAAACATTTGAATTAGCTGCAAAATTATTTATAGATTTTCTAAGTGTGTTGAAAAAATAAAAAGAGTAACATACCACTTTTCTTCTTGACAAGATCCTAAAATGTTCATCTAATAAGCCAAAAGAGCAGAAAATGCTGTATAACTCTGTACTGTATTGATATTTGGGTTATTATTTCTACTTTTATGATAGAAGAAATAAGGCAGTCATATATTTGGTTTGGAGTAAAGACAGAGTTTAGTCATGAAGTTTAGCCTTTAAATTTCTAAACAGAATACAGAATGTTGAAATTAAAACTCAACTGAAAGCAATTTTTTCAAACCAAGACCTTTATGTAAAACCAATTCAAGGTAGACATGTCAACAGTCCCTGAGACTCCCCTTAGGAAACATGTGTGGATAGAAGTACTCACAGGGATCAGAATAACTACATATTCATGGATGAAACTTTTACAGACTGATGTCAAAAGAGATAAAAATATATACAGGGTGAAGTCCAAGGAAAGCCAGGCATAAGCTTCCACATACCCTCTCCCAGTGTAGTAGCATGAATAAACAATTTTCCAAGCAACACTGTATGACAACAGATAGAGTATTGTCATTAACCAAGGAAGAACTCACATGCCTCATTGATTCAGTTTTATTGGAGTTTCCTCTCAGGGGCATGGAATACCTGATATTAATGACTCCTGTTGTTCCGGAGCTGGCCATTAGTCACATATTAGCATAAACTATCTGAGCAAATCAGATCCATGTGGCTTGAAGCCTCAGGCATAGAAAAGTTGGTCTTCTCTATAAAGCACATTGTGAGCATAAATTGGTTAATTAAATTGAAATTCTGTGATCCAAAATTTTGGAAAGAAGCAAACTTCTATTAAGGAAAATATTTCAAAAATACTAAATAGTGCATTTCTTAGACTTTCTTGGTAGTGCATAGGGTTTAAATGGCGAGACCCTGCTAAGTTAACCTTATGGCATAAAGTGAAAAATAATCAGATAGGGACCACTGAGAAGGGTAAAGCCCCTCTCCAAAAGAAACCTAATGATCCATGAAAGAGAGTTGAATTCCAGAAACTTCCTAGACATTTAAGGAAGAATTTTTGATAATTACTCCAGTCACAATACTGTTGACACAAAACCTACAATTTTCTCATCATTAAGCTCTCAATGGAAGATAGTTTCCCAAACCCTTTCTTGATAAGTAGTTCACGCACATAGTATTAAAAACACAATTTTATTATAGTATTTATCTCTTCACATGGCAGCTTAATTTTCATTGTAAGTAATAGAATATCTAAACATAGATGCACCAAAATACTTTTGTATCATATACAAAATATAGATAAACTTAGACGAAAGATAGTGAAGACATGTAACTATAGATGCCTTATATTTATGGATGGGAACAGTAATACAGTAATGACTTAAATTTTTATACGTTGACCCATAAATGCATTGTGACTGCAAACAAAATGCTCAAGGAGCTGAACAACTTCAGTAATATATAATTGATATGTTACAGCTGCATATAGTTAAAGTACTCAACTTATATTTCACAAATATGCACACACCCATTAAGTTGCATCTATAATCATGACAAGCATTTCCATCACTCTTGAAACTTTTTCCATGTCCCTTAGTAACACATATCTCAATATTTCTCCACTCAAGCAGAAGATTTAAATGCCATTACAACGTAAATCAACATGCACTTTTCATAATTTTATATGAACAGAATTATAACATATAAGTGTTCTATTTATGTCTGCTTTCATTCATAAGCAATCCAAGATCCATATTACTTTGCATATGTACACATTTAGTTACTGAGCAGTGTTTCTGTTTATGAGGGTACTATATATTGTTCATCTGTCTTGGACATTTTTGTTTGATTCCAGGTTTTGAGTATTATAAACAAAGCTGTTGTAACATTTGGGTGAAAGTCATTGTGCAGACATATGTTTGCTTTCTTTTAGCTTATTCTGGGCCGTGTAGTAGGAATATGCACATTTTAAGGAAAAAACACCAACAGTTTCCCAGAATCATTGGGTAATTTTGTGTTCATAGCCAGTATAACAGCTACAGCAGCTTGTCAACAAAACCAAGGCTTGAGTTGGTGGTCTTTAAGTTAGCCTTTCCATTGAGTGCATAGAGTCATATAAAATATGATACTTATGTAAATTCTTCTAAAAATTAAATGCTAAGTATCTTTATGTGTTTACTGCCATCCATCTATCTTAAATGTTTACCATTTTCTCATCTTTAATTTAAGCTATTTATATATTTAGTTTTTTGTAGTAAGACCTTATATTCTAAATATTACTTACCAATCAAATATATATCACATATAATGGAATCCAAGTCAATTTCTTACTTTTATATTCTTAGCAATATCTTTCGAAAAGCAAATATTGGTGATTTTAATAAAGCATATTTTTTTTCTGACTTTGGGTGGGCTGTTTCTGAAAAAAGAATCTGTCAAACAAAAACATAAAATGAACAATTTCAATGTTTTTATTGATTTGAGAGTTGAAGGTGATTGTTTTTTGTTCATAAAGACTGTATTTCTTCCAGAATCATTTGTTCAGGGATTTTATCTTCATAAAAATTAGTCTTTGTACTCACCACCTCCATTACCCCACTCTATATCCAGAATTCCTAAACCCTCTTCCAGGGCCTAGCCTATTGAGTACTCCTGACCTCCTCATCCACAATCTACTGGATTTGCAGGAAGACTGTCTCTCGTAGAAATAGCTGCATAAACAAGACATGAACGACAACAATACAAATATACATACTAATGACGAAGGGATAAAGTAACATGAGAACCACCCTTAGACAAAGAACCAGAGGCAGCTAATGACTGCTAAGAGAGTAAGAATTCACTTTTCCAACAGATGAGACCTCTAATTGGTTATTCAATATAATGTAGTCAACCTTGAAATCACATATACACCAACAACAAAAAAGTAACAATAATCAGAGATAAAGAGACTTATCAATCTGAGAGTAAGGGGGCTATGGGAGGGATTTGAAGGAGGGGATATCAGAGAGGATGGTGGATAAAATGGAAGGAAAGGGAGAAACTGATAATTTTGAAGCAAAACTGTATTTTCAAAATTAAAGAATAGAATGGAGATACTGCAAAGCTGATTAATAGTAAATATTCATATGATTTCAAAGATGATTGCTGAAAATGTTATTGGCAAAAGTCTTTATTCTTGTTTTAAGACATTTTCTAAAATACCAATAAAAATAATAAAGAAAATCGTTCCAGAAAGGATTGAATGATTCATGAATTAATAATAACAGTATTTGAGGCCAGTCTTGGTGACTCATCTGACATTCAGTTTAATAAACAGCATGGTTTTTACTCCTTTCTTGTAAGCAAAAAAACTATCCAAAGTAAAATTAAAAAGTATTGCTTGCCAATTGATCATATTATGGCTAAAATTAATTTTCTGAGATTTGAGTATGAAAAATTTTTATACAAAGTAAATCATTTTCTTTGGCAAGTTCTGAATTGCCCACAATTAGAAAGACACCTTCAACAGTATTTCTTTAATTCACTACTAGTCTGTATTCACTACTAAGGCAAGGCCAATCACAGAATAATAGTGATACTAATGGAGACTTTGCCAATAAAAATAGATATAAAATATTCCAGATACTTTAGTTAGATCAGAACATAATGCAGAAGAAGGATATTTAAAACTACCCTTTATATTAAATATTTTTGAGGCTTGATTCAATTTGAAGTCAACAATCTTTTGAAATCTGTTTATTGAAAAAAGTTTTAATACTCTTGAAATGCAAAGCTTGCTTTCTCTATCATTTTCTCTTACATGAAGCTTTTGTATACAGAAAGTTTTGGCTATAGTATTCATACACAGTTACTCATT